AATATGTATTAGATATATAATAATAATAATAATAATAATAATAATAATAATAATAATAATGTTGCTTACTAGGGAAGGTGAGAGGAGCGAATGGAACGCAGATGATGAAGGAAAGTTGGTGCATGTAAAGTTTGCTTTTACGTATGTATATTGCATTACGCATTAGATCTCATATAGATATCTGACGTAATCAGGAGTGAATAAAAACACATTTGTTTAAATTCACTTCTGATCTAATAGTGCAATAAAATCTTTACAAACGTCAAATATACGAGGGTGTTATATGATATCTGAGTACCATTTAAAAAAATGCACAGTACATGTAGTGTGAGCAAGGGCAATATTCATTACTAGCAATAGAATGGAATCTCATCTATGATCTACAATCTCTTTAACCTTGGCTTTATGCAATATTTTACTATGCCATAAAAGGCAGATTAATTTGTTTATACAACCGTTCATTTACAGCAAAGCAATAGTTGCTACACTGGACACTATAGATGTATGTGAAAAACACTTGTGGAAGATATAATCATGAACATATTGAGAGATATACATGTGTGGGACGTCAGAGTATACATATGTTCATGATATTCTGATTTAATATATAAACAATAACAAGCATATTTTTACATTTTAATTCACTATACTATTATACATCTTCATCTGCTTTGTAGAGGGGGGAACGGAGGGGTGGGGGTATATTCCCACTTTCCCAGCAAAAAAACACCCCATATCCCAGTAAAATAAAATCCCAATTCCCAGTTCCCAGGAAATTATGTAGACATGTTTCAGGAAATTCAGTAGTTTAGGTTTTCAAACACTACATAAATACTAATATTTACATACTATTAACTTCTTCAGGTCTCCTTGGGCCTTCCCCTTCTTCTCCTCTTGTCTGGCGTCCATCTAAGTATATTTGTCTATCTATATAGTACATGCAAAAATGCTTTCTTCAGCAAGGAGAGGTGTTGATCACACGGTCAACAGATATCGGCTGGTCGCATTTCTTCCCAATGATATCTGGGCTATGCACAGAGATGGGAGGCATTATATCACATGGTAAGTAATTTTAAATAGTTAGATAATACCCGACACTTATCAAGGAAAGGAATTTTAATGATAAATGTCCTGATTTAATGATTAAATAACAATTGGGTTTACATTGTTATTTGAATAGTTGATGTAATTTTAAAATGAATTTTAAAGTACACACATACACTTACGTGTATGTATGTAGCATATGTATGTAAGTTTGTGTTTGTGTTTGTGTGTTTGTGTGTGTGTGTGCGTGCGTGCGTGCGTGTGCGTGTGCGTGTGTGTGTAGGTACGTACGTACGAACGTACGTATGTATGTAAGTATAATTACATGTAATCGATATTTTTTGTAGGAGCTGTAGTAGCTAGAGAATATGGACTGCCATGTATTGTATCTGCCAGGAATGCTACATCAATATTCAAGACAGGTATGTGTTTTATTGTTAATTCAATGTCACGTAGTCAGCTGCATCTAGTGATTACCTGTGTTGCCATGTAGACAAGACATTTGTTATATTATACCAATGAAATTGGTTTGAGCTAATATTTATAATCTATTACCGGTACTGCATATATTATTATACCAAGAATGCATGCTGAATTTAGTAATTTCTTCTATTCTATCCATCAGGGAATGCAAGAAGATGTGAACAATTAGCTGTTACCAATTTCTGTTGTTATGCTTAACGATTTGAATGTGTTAAATCTGTTCATAACACTGTTGTTCATGTGATATTTCAGTTGATTATATATATAATATTCAATGGTGAAATCGTTTCATATTACTGGGAGATGTATATATATCATGCACATAGGTATGCTTCGCCTAGTTATGTAAAATGACTGTAAATATAATATATGTTCAACCAGGTTATCGTTATTATTTTAATCTTTAGGAGATGAAGTGATCTTAAACGGAGCTGTTGGAACAATGGCAAAAGTTGTTTAGAATGGAAAAACAGACGCAAAGACGAAAATAAAAGAAATATTAGCAGAAAAAAAGAAACAGGACCCCACAGCGTTACCTACTTGGGAGTGTGTAAAATATTGTGTATACACACGTATATATATATATATATATATATATATGCACGTAGTATTTACATCATACTATTCATATGTAGGAATGTTTATACACTCATATAACAATATACACTGTAGGGACAGGATCATGGGATACATTATTTGATAACAGGTGTCGATTTTAATTATTGACTGATATCAAATTCTCTTATATATCTCTTAATTATTTAATTATAGTTATTTTTATGAAAATTATACAAATTTAAGCAGATTGGCTATTGTATTTTTGCAAACTTGAATCATGAAGTGAAACACACAGCCAGTTTGTTGCCACGTTTTCAAATCAAGAAGATTATTAGTATACGATATATAGGCCCTAATGGCTGTTATCATTTATTAGCTACATTCTCACTCCATTCTACATTCGTATCATGCATGTGCATATGAAAATTCTAGATACTCATCAGATGACCAGCTGGCATTCTGATCGCACTTGCGTTCCTGTGGAGACGTGCTGATACGATATGTTGTACCTTGTACACTGCGCCAATACATCAATATTATATTTTATTACTGTCTTATTCTCTTATTTTATGTGTCTCCTGGTGGAGTGTATTTGAGTTTACGGTAACTGATGAATGCGATAGATAGTGAGACAACGACAAAAGAAGAGGAGGAGAGCGGGAATAAGTAGGAGGAAGGGCAGGAGGGAGAGAGGATGGGGTCAGTAGGGAAGGAGGAATTTGTTCATTTAGTTTTGTTTTCGTTTGGATCGCTTATATGTCTTCTAACGACCACAACGTACTCTCCGAAACGCAACGTATGAGAGGACATCCACAGCAGTAACTTGAAAAAATTCCACCGAAATGCATAAATTGGCATTCTTGGCAGAAGTCGCATGAGAGCTCCCTGGTGAAACACCAACAGACCACATTACAGTAACCTCTCATGGTGCAATAATATTGCACATCCTATTTGTGACATCAGAAACGTTCGCGTTGATCCTCGCTTCGCCTGAGGTTCCTAACCTTCTGACCTCTAGACTTGAAAGTTATGCCAAGTTACAACTTTCACAATTTACATCAGCCAAGATGGAAAGTATCTGGTATATGATATGGTGTAAAACCATAATAATGCAGGGTGCCACCAAGGATTGTGGGATTTGAATTACTCACTGCAAGGAATGCGTGTCGATTGTCAAGTTGACGAGGGTGGATGTCTGTAGGCGTGTGGAAATTGTAACTACCTTTGCTTACGTGAAGCAAATTGGGGATGGTTTGATAAGTGTGATTCCTACATGCACAGATGGCAGATCCACTCGTCAGTGATCTCTTGCATTAAGATAGTACAGCATTTACACGGTAAGGAGAAGGTGGGTGAGTGGAAGGAAAGAGGTGGAGAAATGTTCGTGAGGACAGAGTGGGTGATGTAAAATGTAGCCACATCCCTGTTCCTCCACACCTCTCACCTTCATATTGTCTCACACTTTTTTCCTTCTAGCTTGTATCTTCTTTACCTTTTCCAACTCCCCTTTTCCTCTTTCTCTTCCTCTTATCCACCTCCTCTCTTCCATACTTCTCCTTCTCCTCTCTTACAAATTTTCCCTTCCTTTACATACTCCCCCCCCTCCCCCACTCTTCGCTCTGCCCTCCTCTTTTCCGCGGAATTTCAATTTCTGCGCTAATATTTATTTAAGTTATTAATTTATTTTTATTTTTATTAATTATTCCCAGATATTAATAGTATGTAAATATTAGTATTTATGTAGTGTTTGAAAACCTAAACTACTGAATTTCCTGAAACATGTCTACATAATTTCTTAGGAACTGGGATTTTATTTTACTGGGAACTGGGATATGGGGTGTTTTTTTGCTGGGAAAGTGGGAATGTACCCCCCCCCCCCTATACAAAGCAGATGAAGATGTATAATAGTATAGTGAATTAAAATGTAAAAATATGCTTGTTATTGTTTATATATTAAATCAGAATATCATGAACATATGTATACGTCCACACATGTATATCTCTCAATATGTTCATGATTATATCTTCCACAAGTGTTTTTCACATACATCTATAGTGTCCAGTGTAGCAACTATTGCTTTGCTGTAAATGAACGGTTGTATAAACGAATTAACCTGCATTTTATGGCATAGTAAAATATTGCATAAAGCCAAGGTTAAAGAGATTGTAGATCATAGATGAGATTCCATTCTATTGCTAGTAATGAATATTGCCCTTGCTCACACTACATGTACTGTGCATTTTTTTAAATGGTACTCAGATATCATATAACACCCTCGTATATTTGACGTTTGTAAAGATTTTATTGCACTATTAGATCAGAAGTGAATTTAAACAAATGTGGATTTAGTCACTCCTGATTACGTCAGATATCTATATGAGATCTAATGCGTAATGCAATATACATACGTAAAAGCAAACTTTACATGCACCAACTTTCCTTCATCATCTGCGTTCCATTCGCTCCTCTCACCTTCCCTAGTAAGCAACATTATTATTATTATTATTATTATTATTATTATTATTATATATCTAATACATATTTGTGGAAGTTTCTCTGTTCGTCTGTTCTCAATTCAAATCAATATCGGCCACTCTATATATGTCCAAGGATGGCCATTATATAATGTAACTTAATTTGGATACATTGGAACATGGGCACATTGGATTTGACCTCCGAGAGCATCTGACATTGTAAAACGAAAAAATTATGAAAAAATCATGCCCCTGCAGCAGCGTTAAATCAACACACCCCTGTAGCAGCGGTAAATAAACCGGCCCATGAGGACGGGATTCACTTTGCACTGACTTGCATGACTGTACAATGCGCGAAAAATTGAGTTACAATACATGCATTATGTTATAATGCGCAATGTCATTGTCGTAACAACATTCACCTTGCACCGACTTGAAACAGTGTGTAAGGCTATAGCACTATAGACTATAGAGTGTGATAGATAGATCGATGGATCGATGGACAGGTGGACAGATGGACAGACAGACAGACAGACAGACAGACAGACAGACAGATAGACAGACAGACAGATAGATAGACAAGATAGACAGACAGACAGACAGACAGACAGACAGACAGACAGACAGACAGATAGATAGATAGATAGATAGATAGATAGATAGATAGATAGATAGTTAGATAGATAGATAGATAGATAGAGGTGGGTGGTTTGATGGATGGGATGGATGGGATGGATGGGATGGATAGATAGATAGATAGATTGATAGGATAGATAGTAGATAGGATAGATAGGATAGATATAGATAGATAGATAGATAGATAGATAGATAGATAGATAGATAGATCGATAGCTAGCTAGCTAGATAGATAGATACATAGATAGATAGATAGGTACGTACGGAGGTAGGTAGGTAGATAGGTAGGTAGGTAGATAGATCAGATAGATAGATAGTAGATAGATAGATAGATAGGATAGATAGATAGATAGATAGATAGATAGGTACGTACCGGAGGTAGGTAGGTAGATAGGTAGGTAGATAGATAGATAGATAGATAGATATAAGATAGATAGATAGATATGATATAGATAGATAACATAGATAGATAGATAGGTACGTACGGAGGTAGGTAGGTAGATAGGTAGTAGATAGATAGATAGATAGATAGATAGATAGATAGATAGATAGATAGAT